AAAAGGTCTTTGCTGAAACGGCCGATTTTACTGACTGTCACAATAAATCGAATGTATGGAAAGTTGACTAGGAACCACAAAAAAGTTTATCAAAATTCGCAAGTAATGTCTTGAGCCATTAACAGAAAGGCTCTTCAATCCAGCAGTAGAACTGTATTGTAGAATTCTTCATGTAGAAAGCAGACATCTCTCCCTGGTTACATAAGCATGTTTAAAAGAGAATATTCTTGTCATGATCTGTTTTATGAATCTGACCCACATGCAGAGAACCACTCAGGGAGCACGGAAAAAGTTTAACAGGTTTATTGAGGTAGTAATTCAGGATATGGATCCGGAACTCAGTGAGCTGGTAACCAGGAACTGGAAGTGAGAAGGGAAGTTCAGAGGTGAGTTCAGGGAACGTGGGAATCTTGGAAGTGCTTAGATTATGCAAGTATGGGACTCACGTTTGAGGGGGGCCTTGTTAGTCCATGAATCCAGTCTGTGTGGTTAATCTAGAGAATAGTGCACACGTTGGAGGGCGGACAGGTAGACAAGCATTGGACCCGGAGGAGTAATGGAGTGGACTGTCACTCGGATTTCCAATGGGTACTTGAACTGAACATGTGGAGGTCTTCCCCTGCTCAGTGTAACTCGGTTTTTCCATTCAGGGGGTAGAATTTTCAGGTATCCAGTAACACAGGAAATCTTCCTGCTGGGGAACAAAGACAAAAAGCTTGTTAGACTCAGAGAAACAAAGCTAGATTAGACCCAGTTAAACTCAGCTTGGTTAGAGTACCCAAAACTGGCAAACACTCTGGCCTCAAGGTAATGTAAGCCCACTGCTCAAATATTCTTCCAGATAATGATCCAATGAGCCGCAGGTGTGCCAGGAGGGACAGCGAAGACAGGGCACCTCCTGGTGGTGGAAAAGGAAAACACACAAACAGGCCACACAAACTGGATTCCTAACAATTCCCCATATTTGTTTTTTATGCTACTAGTCTAAGTCAGTGCATCAAAGATAATTTCAGATCAGGTTTAGGCCATATTGAAAATTTCTTTATTATCATCATACAAAATAAATATTAATTATTTATTTAATTTACAGCTTATATGGAAGGAAAAAAAATCAGAATCAAAGACAACATTAGGCATATTATCCTTAGTAAAGGGCAAGAGAGCAGGTCTTCTGATCAGTGGTCCAATGTTTCCTTTTAAGTGTTTTTTTTTTTTTGGGATAGCGATTGGGACCTCTGTAACGCTTCCATAGTGCCATAGCTGCATCCTTTAATCAAAGACGATAGAGCTCCTTAACTGGGGTGTCAGGGTCAGTTTCCTGAAATGCTCAATCAAATTCCTTGAGGTCCCCTGGCCTCAAAGGGCACTCAGATTCAGGGACAGCAATCCTTTTATCCTCTTTCTCCCCATTATAGTCTGCCACTGTTTTCCAGTTTCACTCAGTGTAGAATGAGACACCAAATGCTACATGCAGTAAAGTGAAATACATGTAAACCCTGAAAGATAATTCAGGACAACAAGACAACATAGATGAGATCATTATTAAGTTGTTGTTTTTTTCTGCCCTAAAAGTGAATTTATTTTTAAAGACAAAATCTGCATTCTTTGTTCTCGTCTTACTATATCATACTATTATTTTGCCAAGAGAGGAACTGAACTAAAACCACAGACCAGACATGGGCAATGTGGAGTCAACAAGTCATCTCCATGTCATGTATTTAATCTACCCAGCCAATTAACCAGGTCAGTCCAATCTGCACAGGTTAATTCACGGTGAAGATTGGACTCACCTGCTTCAGTGGCTGGGTAGAACAAATACATGACTTGGAGATGACTTGTTGACTCCACATTGACCATGTCTGCCACAGACCTTCACTGATGGTTGTTGATGTTAAGCTAAGCAGATGGAATATAATGTAATGAACTCTGGTGTATATTCTACTGAACGTTACCTCAGCCATGCAGTTCTTCTTCTGCTTCATCCTCTTCATCTACTTCGCCATCCTCCTCATCCTCCTTTCTGCTGGATGATCGCAGAGGTCAGTGGACTTAACTTAATCATGTGTGGAGAGCATAGATATATGACATGGTGCTAACAAGTTTACCACAGCAGTGCAAACTGCAGGCGAGCACAGAGGAGTTTGCTGGTGAGAGCAGATGTGTTCTTGAGTGCTCGGGTGGGTTGGCAGGGTTTAAACGCCATAATAAACTTACGTACCACCAACTTGAACTTCTTTCTTTGTTCTGAAAATACTTTTTGATTGAAGCAGCTTTCTTGAACTGAATGATTAAGACACAAATGTCCTAACCATACATGGCCCAGACACAAAAATGATTACTTCAATTGAGGAAAGCTGTTTCAATTTAAAAAAAAGTGGTCAAATACAGTTGTTTAGATCTCAGATATATCGTTACGTTCAAAAACTTTTTTTTCTGATTGAAAGCCATTTTCTTTTCATTGAAAGTGTTGGGATCCAGAGGTCTGTCCACTTTCTCCACCAGAGAGTGTACGAGATCTCCTGGAGCCGGAGCTGATTGCACCACCTGTTGCTCATCTGCTCATCAGGAGATCCGTACTTAAGGAGGCTGAGGACTTCTCTCCAGTGCCAGAGTGTTTGGCAGTAACGGTTAGCAAGCCTGAGCCAACCAGCCTGTCTGAACCTCTGACTCCCTGAAAACCTGAACCTGATCTGTTTTCTCCTCTCTGCTTCCTAGATTGAACCTGCCTGAAACCTGAAACCCTGAAGAGTTTCTCTGCCGGTGATCTGCCTGTCCGTTCTCAGAAGACTCTGGGAAGAAACTCAAATCTGTGATCTGCCAGCACTCAAATTAAGCTCTGCCTCCGCCTAGCCCTCAGCCTGCCGACGGCCTCTGGACCCTCAAGGTTCCCCCCCTCTGCTCAACTCCAGAACAGGTACAGCCCTGCACACTCTCATCCTGCAAAATACCTGGACCCCCACTAACTCCTCTGTCCTCCTATGCAGTAAACCCACTCGTGACCAGTCCTGGATCTGATTATTCTGTGTGCTTTTCAGAACCCACTCGTGACCAAACGAGTTTCCCTCTGGACCTGTTCATTTATTGTGTTAAAACTCATCAATAAATCTTTGAACTTTTCTCCTGCCTCTGAGTGTTCTGCATGTGGATTAGAAACCTTAAACCAAACATGACAGGTCTTTTTTTTTTTTTTTCTTGTTTTGTTTGATGCAACTTCTTTTTGATTGACTTTTAAAGACACTAATGTCCTTCTCATTATAAGGTCTGGACAAAAACATTACTTCAATTAAAAAGCTGCTACAAACAAAAAACACCTCAATTCCATCAACAAACTCAATTGAAAAATTTCAGTCACAGTGAAAACAGTGTTCAAATGTGTTCTTGGGGGTTTCAATTATCTTTTTGGGTTCACCCACTTTTTTATTTGATTCAAAAGGGTTCTTTAATTGAAAGAAATTTTTTTTTCTTTTGAATAATAAAGAAACAAATCTAACTCCATAGTTAAGAGGAAAATAAATAAACCTTTGTATTTTGTACTTCTGCAGTTAAATAAAGAATTAGTGAGGTTGGGTGTCTTCTTCTTTAGAGTTGGATGCTGATATGTATAGCAATCTGGAAAACATATCAGGGTATTTATCAAGTATAAGCGGTGGCAGAGGTTTGTCAGCAGGCAATAAAATTCTATTCATGCAGTTCTATACCAGTCAGTATGTGGCATTGTGAAGCTGGTTAAGTCTGTTCTCTGATTGGCTTTTTGTCCGAGGATCACTCTGTCACTATTAGAATTGATGAGTCAACCCTCTTTTTTTAAAGGCCCCAGCTTTACCCTCACCCTCCCACCTCCAACACTTTATGGCCTTCTATTTTTTTCCCATAGCAGTTTTTACATCCTGACCAAACCTTCCTGTGTAAGAGGATAATATATGTGTGTCTGCAAGGACACCAGGGGCATAACCTAACAAATGTGTGGGGTCAATTGGTAAGAATTTATTTCTCTTTGTGTGTACATGTGGTTTAATACTAAATTGTATATTGTTAACAGATGGAAGGGATGGAGATACACACCTTACACCTGGACTGAGTAGACTTGGACTTTATATTCTCTTTAATTTACAAACTTTGGATTTTGGTGAAGTGTTAAAAGCTGCTTTGTATCTTTAGGATACCTTATTTATGCTTGAGAAAAAAAATGATATTTTTGACTGTCAAACATTTCAATATGATTATCTAATAATTTTACTTAAGACAAGAGGAAATATCTTTTATAGACAATGTTGTTTAGCAAGGTAATAAAGCGTTTTAATCAAACTTAACCCTATGTTAAGTAAGATTTTGCTCCACGATTGTAATTATTACTTTTGCTATTCTCTTCGAGCCCTTTGTGCTGAGGGATTTTGGCCCATTCTTCTAAAAATAAATGCTTGATTTGAAACCTATTGGAAGTTTTGTGAGCATGAACTACAAGTTAGGCTCTTCTGCTACAGATCATTCCCTAACTTTATAACCCAAGTCTGTATGAAAATAAGTTCACAGACTAATAGCTATGGTCAGAAGTTGTGGATCTAATAATTGCAGCAGCTCCTTCAGATCTCCGTTTAGAAGTCCTAGATCAGCCAATCAACCTCTGAGATGTTTGCTTAGATGCTGCATAAACTTTGTGTTAAACGTAATGGTAAACTCACCCTCCCATTTAGTTTCATTTTTATTTTTGAAACAGTAAATATTACATGATGTTCCATGAAGATCTTAGGTATGGGGGTTCAGCAGTACTTTATACCCTCAAATATGTGTGATAGCATGAGGTAGACTATAAAGTCTCAGGAACTTGTTCTTGTATGACCTCCTGGATGAGTAAGTAATGGACTCTTGTAGTAATTTTGGTAAGGTTTACCAATGTCCCATGCTCTCTCCATTTTTGGGTCTTAATGGTGACAAATATAATTTACATTATTATTATTATTTATAATCCTGTTCTGTTTTTGAAAGCATTAAACAACAGAATGCTGACAACAAAGATGTTCTCATAAAAGTGTAGATAGCTGTTTTCTCTTTGTATTTGTTCTTGTGGTTACAGTGCTGTTGTACTCTCTCTTTCTCTGGCTTAGAAATAATTTGCTAGAAAACAACATATTTCTAAATGTGATATACCATATATTATAAATATCAAAAGAGAGATGCTCCACTTCCTGTATTGATAAATATGGTAGGTAGTGGATAAATATAGAATTTAGCCATTGGTCAGCAAATTAAATAAATATAAACAACCTGAAAATTGATGGAAAGAAAAATAGACGGTTTGCGTCAGCATGACTTTTGATTTTTTACTCCAAGACGAGTTGCCCTGAACTTATTTCTGTTTGTAGACCATAAAGGGAAAGCAAAAAGAAGGTTGTGTGGAAAAAACAGAATAAAGATAATACCATAGGCAAGTAACAAGCAAACAATAAAATAAGAATCATAACCAATTTTCATCAAGTGTGTGCAAGGTTTATGGTTGTTATGTGACACGGATAAAACAAGATCCAAAGAAAGGGAGGGAGGGAACAGGGGGTAGTAGGTTCAACAACAAAAACAATATTACCCTACATTTAGCATCAAGCCCAGCACGAGACAACAATGGCATTAGCAAGGCCATTCTACCTCTGAACATTGCCAGATTTCTCTGGCTGTTTTCAGTGCTCTTTAACAATAAATGGTAGGTTGCAAATACAAAGGAGCAGAAGAAAAAAGGCCCATCCCCCAGCAAACCACCCTAAAGAAGTTTCTTAAGCTTCTTTAGTTTTTTTGCCAAATGTAAGTATTTCAGACTATTAAATTAATTTTAGTCTTACACAAATTTAATCTCACAAAAAATATATAAATTACTTAATGGAAAAAAGCTAATTCCACAGCCAGGTCTAATGAGAACATGTATTGCCTGCCATGATGCTGGTCGAGCCGCTTAGCTGCCATCTTCCACCACCATTCAGAAGCAGATTACTGTCCTGTTGCATAACCCACATGTCCTTGAAGTAAAGGTTCAGTATTTATTTTCTATTTAAGTGTTAGGTTTATGTAAACACATCGTGTGGAGTATTCTTTTGTCTAAGTGTCAATATAATATTTTTCCGAAATGCTTGGGAAAGATCCGATTTATTTTACATGAATAAAGAAAGGGCATTTGTATTCTGCTTTAACTTTTATTTATTTACGATTTGTAACTTTTGCTTTTTGTATCTCTGCTTCTGTCCCCTTGAACCCCAGTCGGCCTCAGCAGATGGCCGCTCACACTGAGGCTGGTTCTGCTGGAGGTTTCTTCCTGTTAAAGGGGCGTTTTTCCTCTCCACTGTCACTACAAGCATGCTTAGCGTGAGGGATTGCTGAAGAGTCAATGAGTCAATGCAATCAACTGGTTTTCCTTAGATAGAAATCTTTGAATCAATCTGACTGGATGATCTGGTTGAACTGTAAAGTGCCTTGAGGTGACATGTGTTGTAAATCGGCACTATATAAGTAAACTGAATTGAATTGAATTAAATATGACAACTTTTGGTGTAATTTGTACACACAGAGTGTATACAAAACAGAATTTTGTTTTGTACAGCTTTCATGAATTTCCATTTCTTAAGGTGCTGCAGTGATCAAATTTAAACAGTGTGGGAGAAAAACATGGTGCAAAACACATTGATATGGAAGTTCAGAGCTTAATATATATGGTGCAAATATAAGTTTTGGTTTGGTGTCATCAGTGTGATGCAGAGTCTGCGACATGATTTAGATTTTGTTCAACATTCAGCAGTCTGATGGCAGTGGGGAAGAAGCTGTTGCAGAGTCTGCTGATCCTGCATTGAATGCTGTGAAGCCTCTTCCCAGAGGGCAGCAGGGAGAACAGTCCATGGTGGGGTGGGGTGAGAGGTGATTGATGATTTCACGGGCTCTGGACACGTAGCGCTGGGATGAAATGTCTTTAATGGAGAGAAGAGGAGCCCCCATGATCCTCTTTGCTGTTCTTACTACTCTTCTCACCTTCTTCCAGTCTGAGGCGCTGCAGCCTCCACACCACACAGTGAGAAAGCTGCAGCATGCCATAGACATAATGGCAGCAGCTTCTGTGCCCTTTTGAAAAAGAGGTGGTGTTTTTACTCCAAGTGAGGGTGTCTGTGATGTGCACCCCCAGGAATTTGGTGCTGCTGACCACCTCTACAGCTGAGCTGTTGATGAGCAGTGGAGCGTGGTTAGGACGGTTCTTCCTGAAGTCCACCATGATCTCCTTCATCTTCTTCACGTTCAGGATCAGGCTGTTATCTCTGCACCACCAGCTGCTCCACATCCTCTCTGTAGTCCAGTTCGTTGTCGTCTCTGATGAGGCCCACCACCGTGGTGTCGTCTGCAAACTTCACCATGTGATTGGTGGTGAACCNCCATTAAAATCTGTCTCCAAATCACAAGGTGGAACTGAGAAGCTTAAGAGGACAAGAAAGGGACAGGCAGTACGACCAAAAGAACAAGCCAAGGGCACTGCCACAACCCTAGACTCTGACATACTAAACCCACCAGATGTACAACGAATAATAGTGGAGCATGTCATTAAGAGTGAAGCTACGACAGCTCCAGGCTCCAAGAGACTGCGTTCCTTCTCAGGCAGAGTTCCTAAACCGCCTGGTGAAGTGGATTTTGAAACATGGTGTTTACATGTTGAACTTATGTTTCAGGATGGCTATACAATGGATGTGCAGCGACGACTGATTCTGGAGAGCTTACTGTCGCCCGCAGCAGACATTGTAAGACAACTAGGCTCCCAGTCACCTCCTCAAGACTATGTAAAACTCCTCCAGTCAGCCTATGGCCTTGTTGACGACGGGGAGGAGATCTTTGCCAGGTTCCTCAGTACTCATCAGGACGCAGGTGAGAAAGCATCTGAATACATTCAGAGACTGCAGACACTTCTCAGCACTGCGATCAGACGGGGTGGTGTAAGTGAGGCCAATGCTAGTAGACAACTTTACAAACAGTTTGTGCGTGGTTGCTGGGACCAGACTTTACTGTTGACCCTGCAACAGAAACTGAGAAATGATCCTGCCCCAAATTTTTCAGAGCTTCTTCTTGAATTAAGAACTGAAGAAGAAAGAAGATCTCTAAAAGTAGACAGAATGCAACGTCACCTTGGAGGGTTTAAAGCAAAACCTCTTGCCCAGTTTCATGGCATTCCAGATCCCACCCCCACAACTAATCAAGACACAGATTTAATGCAGAAATATATAACAGAGACTGAGAACTTAAGGAAACAAGTGGCTGAACTTAAACTACAGCTAACTGAAAAAAGAGCCCAAAGACGGAAGAAACACGAACAGAAACATGCCAGTGCTTCAGAACCTCAACCACCACATTTTACAGAACTGCAAGCACATCAACCTGTACACAGATCGGCTCCAAAAGCGTGGTTTTGTTTTAAATGTGGTGAAAATAACCACATTGCCCGAGAGTGCATCAATGTTCCAAACAAAGACCTTGTTGATAAAAAGAACAAAGAATTAAAGGTGAAACAGCAAGAGTGGCAAGCTAAATATGCCCCAGCTTTAAACTGGACAGGGTTTCAGTAGAGGGACGCACTGAGACCTTATCAGAGTTTAGTCCCAATTCGGAGCAAAGTCCAAAGCCAGCACAAGATAACCGAAAGAACAAAAGACTGAAACAAATAGATGACATTACCAACTCCTGTTCAGCATTATCGGAGGAGGCTCTTTTGAGTGCTCTGGTTGGGTCAAAACGTACTGCTAGCTTGACTATTGATGGGGTTCACAGCGTGTGTCTTCTAGATTCTGGCTCCCAGGTAACCACAGTATCAGAGACATTTCACAAACTACACCTACCTGCACGCCCGATTCAGTCTGTGGCCAAATTGCTTGACATAGAGGGCGCAGGGGGTCAGCAAGTACCCTACTTGGGTTACATAGAACTCAATTTGTGTTTTCCAAAAGAGGTTACTGGGAGACCTGAGGA